CGTCTAATTTGAAGGGGGGGGGTCTGGTTGACCTTTGATGACCTCTACAAATATTTCTTTGTATCTTTAAAATGATAGCGGCACAAACGGAATTTTTGCTGTACAAACCAGCACAATGGTCGCCCATCCAGAGTATGAATTGATATCTGTGTACCTTTGGAATAGTGTATTTATCCAGGACGGTGTCTTTGTTTGCTGTTCGGGGCACATTGAGGGGAATGATGTTGCCCATCCTCTGTATCTCATGGATGACTGCGTTGGTGTAGGGCAGGTTATCTCTATCAGACATAGAGGGCTGCCTGGATGGACCAATCACAGCGTCTATCTCAGCCTGGACATGTTCTGCACACAGAGAGAACATCACAAGCTGCTCCAGTGGTTCATTGAAATGCCCATAGAATACCATCTGAACCAAAGCAGGACTGACAGGTTGGTGAGTGGTGTTAGCTAGATGCTTTCAGAGACACAGTTCGACTTCTAACACACCTTGTATGTCAGGATAGTAGATCATGTAAAGGAGACCCCAGTGTAAAGTGGTTGTGGTGGTTTCAGTTCCAGCACCAAACAGGTCCATGATGCAAAAACACAAATTCGTATAATCAAAACCTGAATCTGTGTCTTCTTTCTGTAAAACAGGAGCCAAATGAGGAAACTAGAGTCAGATGAGAACATTTGTTTGCATGTATTAGAAGAGCATCAGCACAGTAGAATAAAGTAAACCTCTCACCCCTCCCATCTCTATGAGGAAGGAATCAATATAGTCTCTAGGTGATGATGGGTCAAGGTTCTCTTTGTGTTCTCTAATCTTGATTTGTATAAAATCAATTAACTCCTTTGTGATAGAGAATAACTTCTGATGGGCCCCAGGCAGCCGCTTCATCAGCCAAGGCATTATGTTATAAATCTACAAGGCAAGAAAACACCAGATCAATTAAAACAGAGATCCATTTTGTTGTTTATATCAGAGGTCCATTGATTTATTTTGTCTGATTACATTTGAATTCGTTAATTCAAAAGGATACCCAAGTATAAGTCCAGATCTCCTTTAGAGAGATCAAATAGTTAATTGGTAAGCATACAGTCTGTTGGCCGAGAAGCCCATGATAAACGTTTTGGAGAGATCTTTAGTGTAATGAAAAGGCCGACTCTTCTTGTGGATATGTCTGTTTAAAGTTCAGTGGGAAGCACTTTGGGCGAGGTCTGTCACAAAAAAAAAATAATGTCCAGCATTCAATAAACCTCCAAGGAGCTTCTTAGAACTGAAAGTACAGGGCTGCGATCTGACCTGAACTGGGAGGAACTGTACTCCCGATTTGCCATTTTTTGTCATAAAAATATTATATTCAGATCACTTTTAACAGCTTTTTACAAGTTTAAATTAATTCAAACCAAAGTCCTTGATACGTTGTTTTCTGTTGTGCAAAAAGCAATGTGTTCTGGGCCTTACTGATTGTTTATGTCCTGTCTGTTTATTGCGCAACAGACAATACAATAAACAAAACAATAAACATATTTTTTAAAGCAGTCATAACCTGTTATTTTATTTATACAATCCTGGACCGGGCCGCCTTTTAAAGTTGCTTTTTGTATCTCTGCTTCTGTCTCCTTGAACCCTAGTCGGCCTCA